TCTTAATGATTAGTTTTGTATTATTTCACTGCCAAATTGGGCTCTGTGGACCATAATGAGTGATTTTATAATTGAATTTACTCTAGAGGGAAAGCCTTACATCAGAGGGCAGACTTACTGTGTGGTGTGAGTACACGTGCTGTTTAACATAGCTTTAAAGCTGGTTTGTGGGTGTGATACAAAGTTTAGAGCAACATCAGTAATCAATAAACAGCTGCTTAACATAAGGATTTTGCTTTCTCTTGAGATAAAAGTTTTGGAATTAAGGGCAGTTAGAGCTTCCTTGTTGGAAAAAAATATTAAGAAATGTGTTGAGTTTTTAATCCCAGAGAGTTTAACTAGTGGTTAAATAAAGTTCTGGCTTGACACTGGCAGCACTGCGCTTGTCTCAGAGGCCTTGTGCAGTAATGGTGACAGTTGACAGCTGTTGTTCCCTTAATAAGATTAAAGTAAAGAAATTAGTTGTGCTGTCTTTAATCTGCCATTTAACACTGCGAACCACCTGGGGACGGCTTCTGTGCTGACACTTCCAATTCTGAATTAAAACAAAATTGTGAAACTGAATCATAGTTCAGAGTGTGCCGTGATTAGAATGTATTTCAACGAACCGTAGTTAGCGAGCTTATGTTATCAATTAAAAGAACCCTCTTTATTGTTGTGACAAATTAATTTGACATCCATTTGCTTACACCACCTTTTCAAGTGCATTATTTGAGTCTCTGAAAATGCAGATACTTTTTCTGACATGAGATTCAATTGCAAAATACGAAAGCATGATGCATTATTATATTGGAATTTGTTCTGTATATAAAGTGGGAAGTTTCCATGCTTTCAAATGTAAAATAAATGATCCTCTTAGGAATTAGGAATACCATATAGCATAAAACATTGCAGTGGATTAACTAAATCACCTCAGAAACTGAAATGCTGTCAAAAGTTTATGTTAACCTACCAAGATAATATTTGACACGTTGGATAAATTATAATGTTTATATTTAAATATAATTAATCTTTATTTAAGAACAGCTGATAAAATGACAGATGCTGATTTAAAGCATCTCCCCAACTGAAAATAGAAACTACCAATATAGTTTCATATATCTCTCTCTCTGTAAACACACCTACACAGGTGATCATTTTTTTTGTGAAAAGTAAAAGTAGGTGCCTAAAGAAAATTTTTTTCAGCATTACTGAGGAAAGTGAAATAAATACCTTTACCTGGTCAGGATAGGAAAAGAGAATCCTCTTGCAAGGCAGGTCTTAATAAATGCACATGAAACATGCTACTTGAATTTTGTATAGGTGTTATCCTTGTGTCCTGGTTTTTTACCCTGTAGGGTAAAAGGTGAAATAGGTGAAAATTAACCTGCCTTTGATCAATAAATTATGATTTAATGCTGTTTTCATATCATACAAACTACAGATTGAAACTGATTTAATTAGGCAGTAGAGTAAAATTAGTTACCAGTACAGTAAAATTAATATGACTGGTAATACGGTGATACTCAGAATATTGAAGGATATGAAGGATATCCTAATAAAGGATAGGTATAAATGTACTTTATGTTTTTACAGATCAAACCAAGCAAGGTAACACTTCTTTTTTAAATTTAAAATTAGTTCTCCAGCTAAAGAAAAGATAATCCAGAAATACAAGTGGAAAAAAAAATTACTTTAAACTTTCTAGCTTCTGAGCATTTCCAGCTTTTCTTGGCTCGAGAAGTACAATGTATGTATGTAAAAAGCTTCCATTTCAACTCTTGGGAGCCACGCTAAATAACCAGATGCCACAGCAATGAATGTGGCAATCAGAAAAGCAGCCTTCATTATTATGGAAATAACTTTGTTGTTTCAAAAAATATTTTAGGAGAAAAAATAAAGCATAAAACTCAACCCTGTAAGTATGTTGAATTAGACTGCAGCTTGTTATGTTAAATACCAGCTTTGATTTCTGTATGATAACTTGTTGTTTGTTACAATCCCACTTTTATATGACCTTTTGACAGTGCTCACAATTTATTTTCTTCTGTGGAGCTCATTTGAACTTAGTCACATATTTTCACATGTTAAAAAAAACCAACAAAGTAAAAGTTCTTTTTCTTTTTGTTTACTTTAGACAAACAACTTGAATTTCCAGCTATATTTATTATTGTATATATTTGATTGGTTTGTTTTGTGTGTCTGTGTGCATATTTCTATAGTAACAATGATGATAGCTTTTGTAGTAAGCAATGTTAAAAAATGAATTTTGTGTTTACTCTGAAATAGTATTCTCCATGGTCAGATCGATCTTCTCTGTGAGTATATTCTATAGGACTGGTCCCAGCTTCCCTGCAAATCCTGTTTTGAGAACATTTGAATTGAAGCAGATGGAAATTACTGTACATGCTGCAAAGAATAATTGGGCATGTTTTGTACATCAGGAGCTTTCTGTGACTGATTGTGTTTATGACTTTCTGTTCTTACCGTTGCAAACCTCTTACCTCTTCCCACTGGCCGTAAGATGTAGGTCGGTTGATGCCATTGTGGTTATACACTAACTCTTAAAGGCTCTGTACAATAGTGGTTCACAGTACATCAGTAGAAGTTTTTGGACAAGAATTTCACCTGCTCAGTTTTACTTGCTCAGTACAAGTTGCTCATCCTCTCCATTCCTTGGATTAGTTCACAAGTGCTATACAGTAGCCTCTCTCTAAAGCTGGTCCCAGTAAACTGTGAATTGCTGCAAATTAACTTCATGCAGGGCTTTTTTCTTGAAGGTTGTGCTCGGAAAGAGATTTTAGACCCAAATTACTTGTGTGATACAACTATAAGCCACAAGAAAATAATATTACATATCCAAATTGTGAAATTGGCTGATAATCTCTGTAAGTTTTGTTATGAGTTTCGAATACAGAAGATTCCAGTGGCCGTGCAGTGCATGGCTTCTGGTAAGTATGGCTTTTTTAAAAAGTTATTAATTATTTAATTGAGTTAATGTAAATTTTAGTTCTGTTTGGAATCCCAGGTTTAAGAAAACAGATGTGAATTGCTGAAAGGTTGTTCTGTGATATGCTTCCATTTATTTGCTTTTAATTCACTGAAGAAAAAAGTAAAATTCCTAATTTTTTTTTCCTTCTGATTTTTTTAGGTCACTCTGCAATACAGTAAATGCTTACAGCCTTGCCTGCAGTAATTGCGCAGAAAACTGCACCTATGTTCTTTTTAGTAATAAGATCATTTTTCTAATGGACCTGTTGATACACCAGTTTATGGTATGTAATATAGCTATTTTAATTTAAAAATTTTTGTATGCTTCACAAGCATATTGGAGTATTTATAGTATAAGAACACTAGGAGATTTATGAGAATAAAGGCTCAAAAGAATAAGATTGTATGTTGTATGTATTTGGTAACTGTATCTACTGTACTTCTATACAGACGGATATACTTGCTTCTGCTAATAAGTTCTGCAAAAGCCTGCATACCAGGAACTCTAGTGAGTGGACAGTGTTCTATTTTCAACGTTTTCTGGGGTTTTCTTCTTTAATTCACCCTGTAGTAATATTTACAGTATAGAATGTTATGAGTTATCTGCGTGTGTTTGGTTCTTAAGTGTTTCAGTATCGGGAATAAAAATCAAGTCACCACGTTGCTGTAGTTTGATTTGCTGAAGTCCTGAACAGCAGGACTCTTTAACTGTGAAAGTTTTAATTTTCCAGTGTTTCATTTAATTTGAGATGTCATTAAATATTTTATTTGAAAACTCATTTTTAATTCATAGTGACCTGCTCATCATAAGATATTTAGTCTTGGTTTTCTACTTATAAATTGTGTGTATGTATTTTCATGAGCGAAGCAGTTTGTTAATTGAAAAGTTATGTACATACTTTAAATAATTTAAATGATGCTGTTAGAATCAACAAGCCATAGGACTGTTGACGAACACTTTAAAAAGATAGACCAGAGGTCCTTGACACAAAGAAAACCCGAATGCAACCTGCGCATTGTCCTCTAAGTAGGTGCCAGCTCATTGTTCTTCACTTAGGGAAAGGTGCGTGTATTGTGCTGGCTCTCTGCAGAGCGAGCCAAGCCAGAGCGCAAGCTCTGGGGGTAATTACACAAGAGATGAAATCCTTCAGCACTTTACAAGTGACAAGATTCATTCTGATGCCAAACACCTTCCCTTTTCTCAGTGTAGCACTGTGCAAACGACCTGCACGCTTTCCCCAAGAAATACAGAGGATATTTCTTAGGAAGTGTTGGCCACCTAGAGATCAGAGATACTACATAAGAAAAATTTACTACACTTAGAGCTGTTTTCAGTCTGTTGCCAAACGCTGCCCTTGAATTGCAGTAAAGCTGTAATTAAAGCTTAATGTTTCCCATGATCCACAGTGGACTTTTCTTTCCTATGCATAAAGTATCTTATGTTCTCTTCAGGCAAAATTGGCCCTAAAACTAGGATATCTTGGTAGTTCCATGAAGTATGTATTTAAGAACAAAAAATTAACTACAGTGCTGCTTTTCTAACCCTGATTTTTCACTCTTGAAAATATAATAAATCAGATCAAGTTGATTTTTTTAAATTTTTTTATTTTTTTTACGAAAAAGAAATGGACAGATGGAGAGCACTTCTTTTAATTGGATCGAGCTCTGAATACCAGAATATTAAAAGGCACCCCTTCAGAAATTCAACTCTCTGCAGTATTTCTAGTTTGGGGAGCTGTATGATGCTGCCTTTGCCTGTGTCCTGCATAGTCCCACTTACTGTTGGAAAATAAACCCCAAGTAACCCCAGAAGTAATAAAAAAGAACATATATTTTTAACAAGTTTTTAACAAGTTCTTAAACAAGTGTGCCAGTATGTGCTCAATACAGAAACAGAAAGAATCCAGTTTTGAGAAACCTTTAAGTCTTTTCTTAAATACAGCAAGTAGGAGCCTTACTTCCAACCAATTTAATGTGTTTTTAGTTTTGTTCTTATTCATCAGAATTGAGTGCCAGCTTCATTTTTGCTAAAACATAGAGTATTCTTTATTTTAAATAATAAAATTTAAAACGGAATAACGGAGTGTATTTATTAGTTTTTTTTGTGACATCCAGCCTGCCCGAGTTAATTAAGTGTCCTGTTTAGGCCTTCCTTTACCTCACACCTACACAGACTCATAGGAAACCTGCTCTACACTTGACTTACCATTTTACCTTTCTTAGCCTCCTTAGCTCAGATAATGCCTAAATCAGTGTCTGCTGAGGTCAGGAGTAGCTTGTCTCCTGATTTCAGTGGGTAATGGATCAAACCTTCCTGCCTACATTCACAGAAGTCTTATGCTCAAGTTGTAACTTTGTTTATCTACAGATTGCTAGCTCTGCTCTTATCCCCTGTACCTAGAAGGTAGTTGCAAAATAAGGAGAACTTGTTTATTTTGAAAGGTTTCACACTGAGAGAAACAAATAATAATGTGGAGTTGTAAGCATGTAAGGAGAGTTGGGGTTTTTTTGTTTGGGATTTTTTTTGTTTTTTCTGGTTAAGTAACAGCTGTCATGTACTTTCCCATGAAGATATCTGAAAAAGCCATATGTATAAACCATACATTTCTGTGCCTGCATTTGTAAATAATTATGTCTGTTGAGTAAGCAGATTGGGGTTTGGGCTTTTTTTTCCCCAGATATCTGTCCTTTTATGATATCACAATAAGAGAAGTATGCCAGTTTGTTTTCTGACTACATGTTCTCAGATAAATCAAAGGGAAGTTTGCAAAAGCCTTTGAGAATAACAATATGGACAAGACTACCTTGTGCAGTAAAAATTGTAAGAAGATTTCGTTCATTCAGACCTTTCCCATCCCAGCATACCTGCTGTTACGAGCAAAGCATAATGCAAATCAATACTCATTAAGAATTAGAAAATTAGACATTTTTGTTGTTATAGTTCTTCATTCACATAAATATGCAAAATTACATGGATTCTTCCTAGCTTCATTTTCAAATTGCGTGCTACATAGGATTGCAGATTATTAGCTTGAGGTTGCCAGTCCCTGTCCAGCAGTGTGGCTTTCCAGAGTTGGTTGCCGTTTGTAAATCTGGTTAAAATTTAGAAAATTTCAAATTGGATCACTGTATGACGTCTTTTTTTAAGGCAATCTTTAAATGCATGATATCTGAAAGTCCTAAATAAAACATCATTGGTGAATATAAAAACATGTGAAATTGACTTTGCAATGTAAGTAGAGCTCAAACAAATGTAGAGTTCCAAAGCAAGTTGCTTGTTACTTTTTTCTTCTCTGAAATACACTGCTTAAATCTGGATTGTTTCGTAGGTGAATGACCTATAAAATTTTATGTACAAAGTACAATCACTTTGATTTGAGTTTAAGTTAATCTGGTTATCTAGTTACACTGAATTAATTTTTCTCCACCATTTTGAATGTGCTGCCATTTAATTTAGGTGCTTCAGAATGGCAGTATACATCCTATCGTAGTTGCTAGTTTCTTAGCTACTTCTGGTTAGTTTTTTAATCTTCTGTACTGCAACAGGCAAGGCAGCTTCATGTTTGTTTGCAGTGAGTATGATGAGAATTGTAAAATCAAAGGCACATCCATGCTTCCTGGCTGTTCTGATCCATTTTGAAATTATATTGTGTCTCCATAGTGTTGTTGTGACACTGACGGTGCTCCTGGTCCCTAGTAACGAGACCATGTAGGCAGTTTCTACCTTCCAGGTCACTAAGAGATCTAAAAAAAACTTCTCTCCATCTGGTTCGGTTCTAACTGATGACCTGAGGACCGGCACCTAGAACTATCAAGGTTGACCTTTAAAGAAATATGTCAGTTAGATGTCAGCTCTGTGGTCTGGGTCATTTCTAATGCGATTCAGTCAGGGTTGGCAATGTAAAAAAGCACCAAAACTTCATGTCTTTTTCTGTATTTTTAATAATGTAACTTTTAAAAGGCCAAAAACTTGTATTTTGTTAATTTGCTTCAGTAGGAAGCCAGTGTGTTAATCCTGTAGAAATTTTGAAAATAGGGCTGGGCTAGGAGATATAATGACATATTAGAGTGTTTAGGGGTAGGGAATTTAAAAGTAGAACCTTCATCTGCACCATCTTAAACCCATAGACTCCTCAGGCCATTTCCATTTCTTTAGTTCGGTAGTTACTACATAGAAAGTGTGACATCCTATATAGACACTATTTTGAAAGTATACGTTTTCCAGGGTGTTTTTGAGGCAAGCCCAATGGCTTACAAGAAATGCAAAATCACTACTGTTAGTGGGAGAAGAATACAAGGTAAGTGACCAAATGAACAGAAACTGGTATGAAGACTTTCCATTTAGGTCTAGAAGCTCTATATTTAAAATTCTTCATTACTGGGCAGGATTATGCTTTTTACAAGGCAAATAAAAACATAAAAGAATTTTCAGTGACAGAGCCTCTACATTGCTAACTGGAAACTGTTTGGAGGGGGGTTTTTTGTTGTTAGCACGGAAAAAAATGTACTTTGATATGCAGAGGTACTTTTGGTGACATGAGTCAGAATGGAGTAACGTTTTCAGCTATTTTAAATGTGTGCCTAAGTGCTTTACTGGATTGGGGCCATATTATTCAGCATCTTGCAGGATTAAGTCCTAGATGCTGGGCAGAGCTGGAGAGCTTATGGCAGCTCTGCACAAGCAAGGGAATCCCTACACAAGGGGAATTCTCTGCTGAAAGGCCTAACAGTTGGATGGAGGCTGTACCAGAGCTGAGAATCTGGTCATCAGAGCATTCTGGTTCAAGAACTGATTGAAAGAAAGTAGGAGGCTTGATTAGGCCCAGCGTAGGCAGTCATTGTAAATGCTAAAATAACATTGAGATGTTGGATGTGTCAGATAATTTGACAATAGTATAACATTTTTCCTAATTGTTCTTTGTGATTTAAAAATGCATTATACCAGTTACTTGACAAGTCAGTTTAAGTCTGCAATTGTACCTGTAGATTTGTGTCATTTAAACTGTTAAACCTATTAAACATCAGAAATAAAAATGCAGAATGTTTTAACATTTACTCATCCAAAGCCCATGTTCAACAAACAGTTTCACTGAATGTCATTAACTCCTCGTGTAATTGACACAAAGAAACCAGAGCTTGAAAGCTTTTATAATTACACTATTAAATCTTAAGATTTCCTACACCTTGCTTGATAGAATAATCAACAAGGGAAGTAATACATCACTTTTGCAAGCACCCCAATTAATTTTGAACATAAATCTCAACACATTTCACACTGTTAATTACCTCTTCAGTAAAAAAGCTGATCTTTCATCACTTATTTGAGTTCATATAAACAGAAAATATTAAAGGTAAGAATTAAGTTCAAATTTACTGATTTTCTGTAAAACAGTATTGCCTTCTCTGTCCTCTTTGGCTTACGCATTATAAAAACCACATTTGTTCTTACTTTGTATTAATACACTCACACACACATTCCCCCAAAAATCAAATGTGAAAAATGAACTCTGGAATAAATGATTGTATTAAGAGTGCCAGATCTATTTATTTTACAGATTAGGAAGAACAGTTTTATATTAAAGCATGAACTTGTGTAGGTAAGGGCTGTAAACTTAGAAAATAGAGTTCTCATGTACATTCATTGAGGAGAGAAAAATAGACATCTGTTCATAGTACTGTTAATTACAGCAAGAGGAAGGCTCTACTGCAAAGTATTATTAAATCTTTTAACAAATAAGTTATATATTATTTTTTTCATCTTTCGTGAAAAGCAGTGAATAGCATTTGTTAGCAAGTTTTAAAATTTGGTGTTCCTAGTATGAAGTTGCCACATTTAAATTGATTTATACATTGCAAAGCTTAATCCATCTGTTTCAGTAGGCAATTAGAATCATTAGGCATGAATTATTTTAGTCAACAGAAGTTACTGGAGCAACATAATATTATTTTTCCTATTGAACGTGAATAAACAGCTAAAGACTTCTCACTTGCTCACTTGGCTTGTCACCAGAAACAGACTATTAGCATGAGTTTTAAGTACCGACACAAGGCACAGAGCTAATGAATAATAAAGAAATGCGCATGTTGTTCTTTGTCACCAAGTGTTACCAAATCCCTCCTGATACCTATATAGGGAGGAACGGTTTTCTGTGACCTTTCTTGCATATACCAAGTGTAAATTATTTTAACCTGGAATGAAAATAAAATGTCAGCCAATATTGGTCACTAATTTCAGTGTTGAAAGCCTCAAACTGTCTCATAAAATTGCCTCTGCAGGGGTCTGTTGGTACTTGGAGTCCAGCAGCTTTAAGCCCAGTGAGTGTACCTAGGAGCCCCATGTCTTCATTGAAGGATCTGCGCTGCCAGTATTCTGCCTGTAAAACTGCAGGACTTCCACACACACTTCACTTACTGTCTGATCATAATAGGGCAGAATTTCAGCTGGTTGAAATACTTTTGGACTGCAGAAATGAAAAAAATAATTAAAAAAATTTAAAAATATACTTTCATTGGTGATTTCCTTCCAGATCTGTATCCTGCATGTAGATTTGTCATCAGATTTACCTGTTGTACAGCTCAACTTCACTGCCTTTTTAGAAGTGGGCTCCAGTTAATGATTTAGAAAAATCTGATTTCATTCCTCTGCTGGAAAAGTGCAGTGGTCATCAGGTGATGTTTTATATTGAGAAGTTCAGGCCTTATTCACGGGACATGGTTTTTCCTGCTGTCCTTGATATTTAAATATGAAGGTATCCATAAAAGTGCTCAGACTTTCTCCTGCCTGATGTGAGATTTGTGGGTGGAAAGCATTTTCCATTGCATCTTTTAGAACTGTATTGTTCATGTCGTCCTTTACGATGTTCCAGTATGTCAGGTTGTGCCTTAGAATTTGTGCAATTTTTCTGTCTCCTCAGGAAGTTCCTTAGCTGTTTTTTGGGTTTGTTTGGCGGTTTTTTTGAGGCAGAGAGGAAGAGGGTTCAGATTTGGTCAGGTTAGGTGTTATTTTGTTTTGTTTTTTAATCTACCTCCCTCCCTCCTTCCCTGGCAGAAATTTCTGCTTCAACTTCCTTTCTTCTTTTTTTTAACGTTGGGACTGTCTTAGGTTTTATAGACTTTGGAAGATTTAGCAGTACTCTGTCTTTTTGAATAAAAGATGGACAAGAGAAATGTGAATCAAAGAAAGATTTGGAGCCTTGCCTTAAGGGTTGTTTTGCCTCTGAGGAGTACTTGGCTCTTTGAAATACTTAGCTACTCTGGTGTAGTTTTAGTAGTAAACTGCTCAGCTGAGAAGTTCTGACAGTAGGAAAAGATAATTCTCTTGCAGGCTTTTTCAGGTGTGAAGGGGAACCACGTAGCTCATCTGTCTCAATTCAGTGAAGGCTGCCCTCTTTTGCTGGCTTGAAACAGCTGTGTATTACTCTCTTTGTGTACCTCAGGACATAATACAATTTGTTCTGAATTCAGTTATGCAGAAGCTCAGCAGCACAACTGAATACCTCCTTGTAGATTGGAAAAAATTTGTATTCCCCAGTGTCCTATGCCATTGTTACCAGATGGCACCTCCTGTGACTTTCCTGTGGGTTGTCTATATCTACTGCTCAGGCACTTCAGGGTGATCTTTCCTAAGGATGAACTAGTACTCTTCCAGATACAATTATTTTTCTTCTTAGTTACAGTTTGAGTTTTATCACAATCAATCTCGCCTTTTTTTGGTAAAAATTCCTGTAATTTTTCTAACATTAAAATTCCACGGAAAATACTTTGGAAGGATGCTTAGTTCAGGATAATTTTTTTGTAATTTTTTGTTTGTTTGGGGTTTTTTTTGCTATGGAGAAAGTCCATCAGGGATTAGATCTCACTTCAAAGATCATTCCTATTGCCTGCAAAGTGTAAAGAGCCACGGTTGTACCTGCTCTGTCACAAGAACTTTTGCCTTTCAAAATACTCACTATTGTAGGGGTGTTTCTTTAGGACTCAAACAATTGAGTTGCCTTCTGATGGTACATTGTGTTTTTTCCAAATTCGGGTAGGGGATTACCATACAGCAGTAAATGCTGTTTTTTCTACAAATAGCTCACTTTCCTTTGTATTGCTGAACCCTTTCTGTATCATAGATATTTTCTATGTCTTCGTGGTAACACAATGTAGTCATTAAAATGAGCCATCTCAGTAGTTTATTTGCAGTCAAGTTCAAAAAATATTTTTTTTTGCTTGCAACTCATCAAAAATCCTGTTTATGCATAAGAACACCACACTCATACTAATTAAATACTCTGCTGCTATAAGGCTTCCTTCAGTTCTCATGCACTAAATACTGTTTTAACTTGATCTATTCTGTTTCAGCCTGTATTATTTGCATAAGGGATATGGACCTTTTCTTGTACCTGAAATGCTTTAGTGTCCATCAGCACTGCTAGAATATTGTTATTTATTACTATTTTTGCTGTGCTCATATCCAACTTTCTGAGTGCTTTGCTATAAACTTTGATTATTTTTACTGAATTATGATTGTTTTTTCGTTTTTTCTCTTGATTTAGGTTAGTGTTCCAGATGACCATAATGCTACTTCAGGCAGAAGTGCAAATAAGCAGGTATTTGAAGGTTTGACAACAGGACTTCTGAGGATAACTGCTGTGATTTTCAGGTGTCTAATCTCCAACTTCCCAGATGGAAACAACCACTCTACTGCATTGAAGATACTACAGGAAGTGAAAAGTAAATCCTCGCAAGTGGAAGCTTTCAATAGCAGAGTCCAAGACCTGATCAGGTTAAAAAGAAAATAATAATGAAACTTCTCTAAGCCTTCTTTACTGCAAAGAAAGAAAGTTGCAATGACTTAAAAGAGGAACAAACTGCTTTAACTCTTGACTTAGTAAGAGCAGTAGAGCAGTTTGTGTGTGTAGTCACTAAGACTATTGAAATGCTATAATCTCAAACAAAAATATTATTTAAAAACCTGCAGACACAGAAACACAGAAAACCAAGAGTTGTAATTTTGAACTTGTTTTCTTGTGTCCTTTCCATTAGTTTCATCGCCTAATTACCTAGGAGTCAGCTTCCATATTTTCATTACTTTCTCCCAGCTATCTGTGCCAGCTGTATATGCCCATTGCCCATGTGGTCCTGCATGATACATGCATTCATATAAGCTTGCTGTAAAATATATACCTTCTGTTATAGAGACTACTCAATAATTCTTATAATCTCATTTCAACTTTTAGAATGTAGCTGTATTTTAATAGCAATTTTATTTTCTAAGTATATTTCTTGAGCATCATTTCAATCAAAATATCTGCATGAGTTTTAACAGTAGAGTAAAAGAGAATGCATTGTTTTGCTTATTTTTACTTGAAACATTTTAATTCTTTGGTAAAAACACTTGAACATGATTATTACACTGATACTTATACTGATGGCTACAAAAAAAGAGCTGGAGGAGGAAAGCAAAACAAATAGTTGTCATAGATACCAGTGACCTCTAAAACTTCATTGTTCTTATGTAACCCACCTTCTCCCCAAACAGGTTTTGGAAGAGTGTGAAATTTCAGGATGTTGTATTCTCTCCATTTATGAATGGGAGGGTGGGAGGTCTGCTTATTGATATTTGTCCTGAACAGACACCTGACACTGACTGAGCCAAGCATAGGCCTACCCTTAAGATAAGAAGATACATGAGAGTCCAGCTAGGTCCTTCACCTGAGGCACTTTAAGGGATCTGGTTATACATGGAGAATGAAAGGCATGATGACAAGGTAATAGCGCAATTAGGAAAAAAAAGAGAGAGGGCATTTTAAACTAGTCAAAACCAGACAAATTCTATTATTAATGGGAATCTTTCACCTCCAGGTCACTGTATCATATGTCCTTGGGGATTTGATTAAATGAGAGTTTTAGGAAGATGGGGAAAGAAAGAGGAAAGTTGGAATTTATTTTTTTCTTCTATTTGGTGTAACTAGACCTGATGCATAAACAGCAGTTCTCTACACACTGTCTGGGTATCAAAAGGGTAGCCAGATTATTTGAACTATGCTACCATGGGTAAAAAGACTGGGAGATGGAGGCAGTAGATTAGAGAGCTTTGACATTCCACTTGTCCTTATGCCCAGTTCTTCAAGGAAGGGAGTGCTTCATTTGTCTTCTTATTGTCTCCAGATGCCATTGAAGAAGAGTCCCAGTAGGCTGAAAACTCTCATCCATTTCTCCTCTGCCAAAAGAGCAGCTGCTTTATATCCAGGTGTGAGCGTAAAGGAAGGGGGAACAATGAACACACTTTGCAGGTGTCAGTCGAACTGTGAAGTTGTTCCTAGGGAAAAAGGAAGAGAATATTGATGAGGAGGGTTGTGCCTTTCTGTGAGTAATCATCTATCAGTATTAGCTGCATTTTAGTTAGTTCTTTCTCTCCCCTCCTATTTCACAGAGAGATTTATAGCCCACACCGTTTCTCTGTGACTATGGTGTGTCTAACACCCAGCTCTGTTCCTGGAATTATTCTGCTAGTATGGGAGAGCTTGCTTATCACCTGTATGATCAGGTGGATTGCTTAGATTAAAATCTGCAAGAAACCTAATGCTGGTAACCTTTCACATTGCTAAATAGAACAGACAAATCAGACTTACCTGAGCAATGAGTGTGCAATTAATAGCCTTCATGTGTCTTTAAGTGTTTTTAACTGCTGTACTTGAGCAGCTTTAAAAATCTCATACGGCAGTCAGATTTCTTGCTTTACATTCAGTGCATTTTTATTCTTTGTTACTTTCATTCCTCCCAAAAGCTTTGTGTGAGCAGGGTGAGCTTTGGCAGAAAGTCTAGCTTCTAACCCTGAAGAGAGATTAGTCTTTGAGCAACAATGCTGTCTGAAAAGTTGAGAGGTTTGTTTCCCTAATCTTCAAAGTCCCTGTTTTTTCAAAATCAGGCTGTGAGATATGTGAGGGAATAGTTATTTTTAATAAATATTTGTACAGCTCCTGGGACAAGCATCATCTAATCAGTGTTATTTATTTACTAGAATTATTATTATTATTTAATAATGTTCCATGCTTTGTAAAGTCAGGGTGGTCTTGACATCATGGAACCATATACCCAGTGGTGTTCCCATCTCAAGGAGCCTATGCTCTTATAGGCAATCTCCAACAAGTGGACTTGACAAGCAAGTAGAACAGCTGGTAGGATGGAGTAATATTAATAACAGGATAGTTTAGTATAGACAATCATGTGAAAACGGTGCATCAGTTGATGGTGTCTGAAAGCAATGGGTTCACCAGGTCTTTTAAGTCAGGTGGAGGCACAGGATATAACAGCAGTTCTGATTTTGACATGAAGTTTTTCCCACTCTATAAGAGTGGAGGAAAGTACAAAGAAAATTAGAGGGCAAAGGGTACAAGGAGGTGATTGCAGCAGGGTATTTGTCTCCACAAAGGAAGTTGATGTCACATAAGTCAGCAGAATGAACAGTTGAGACCAAGTAAATTCTGAGAAGCTGAATGTTTGTGGTAGAAAAAGGAAAGTACGTAAATTCAGGTTATATTAGCAAAGTGACATGGAAAAAAAAATATCTATGTGCACAATTTAAGTGGAGTTGATAATGGTCAAAGTATGATAGGACCTGGTGTGGACAGAGATATCTTGGTACAAGGACAAACGGCAATTTTCTTGGTGTAGATTTCCAAGCTATTAGAAATTCAAAGAAGAAACTTCAGCAGTAGTGATCTGATGATCAGCAGTGATGATCTGATCTACTATGATAATTAAAAAAAATGTCACTAGCGTGGTTTTCTTTGTGTTGAGTTTTGGTTGAGCTCCTGAGGAGGCTTTCTGATCCTGATCCTTCTATACTGATGGTAGAAGGTTGTTACCTGCATGTTCTATTAGCCTCTGAACTATTGCATATATTAAAAAGGAAAAAAAAATCCCACAACTAGGCAGTAGTTGTTATGATATATGTATTGCAATAAAATGTTATCTGGGTAACATCATTGTCTTCTTGAATTAGTGTGTTCTACAAAGTTTATCTCTTCACGCTAAAAAGAAATTGTGCTGTTGCAGAGCTATCAAGATTATTATAAATCATTTAACTATGGCAAAATTCCATTGTCCTTCTAGGAGCATGGTAAAATAAACATTTACACTCATCTTTCTTGTACAGTATAATACAAATTATGCTCCAACAGACAGATCTCTTAACAAAAACTACTGATAGTTACAGGGAGACAGATCTGAAGTTAGTGTAATTTGAATTGTTTTATTGAACCCTTTCAGAAAGAGTATTTGAGTACTCACCACCTGCATTTTGTATGGTTTGACAGTAGAGAAGCAGAAATTACTTCCTCTGCAAAGTTACCAAAACTTGGCTTGGGACTATTTTTTTTAATACAATTTTCTCTCTCTTTCTAGTTATGTGGTGAACATAGGGTTGATAGACAAACTGTGTTGCTGTTTCCTCTCCGTTCAAGGCCCTGTTGATGAAAATCCCAAAATTGCAACTTTTCTACAAAATGCCACAGCAGTGTTGCATGGAATGTGTCAGCTGTGTTTTGCTGTCAATGGAAGGTAAGTGCACTTGGTCTGTCATCTCATAAATATGTTCTTCAGGCAGCAGCCATTGTAACCTTGTGCCAACACCGCGTTCATGGAAGCGAGCGTTCTGACGAGACTGTTCTACAGAACTGGTCTTAGTCACACAGTATTAAGCGGTAAAGAAACAGTGCAGGAAATTCACTCTGCTCACCCTTTCACCATTGAACTGTAATTAGTTACCTGCACTGAGTCTTGATTCTTATAAGTCATTTTTCAGAATTGCAAACTTCATCTCCTTTACGTATCATTACAGAGAGGATTTTATCACTACTAATTTTAAGTATCTAAGGACTTCAAGAGGTATTTTATTATCAGCTAAAATCAACTCTTAATTGATTTGTCTCTAGAGCAACCTAATTCTTTAAAATACCACTGTCAGTAAGGGAATTGTATTTTCCGTAAAGAAAAATATTACTAGATTTGTCAGGGAGTTTTCCAATGCAGAATGTTCATTATCATAACCTAACTAGGCTTGTGGGGAGTGAGCATGAGGTATGTGTCTGCCAGCAAATCTGGATTTCTACTATCTACAGCATAGGACAACCTGACAGTGTGAGAATCAGAATTTCAGAGCTTCGGGTGCACATGCTAGAACCTACCACTGTTAGACTGTTACACATTTCCAGAAAAGACAAGGCTGACAGAACTTTACAATGAATTCCTGAGGGGAAAAATGATGCTAGGGTTGAAAAACTGGAGTAATAAAACATATAAAATAAGAAACAAAGCTGAAGGTAGGAGCTGTTGCTGGTAACTCAGGGACACAGGCACATGGAAGAAGAACTGCAAGTAATATGAGCCCAAAGGGACCATCCCAACTTACTGAAATTTCCTTTTCTGAAAGCCGCCAACTTGGCATTTTACATTCCAGGACAGTGCTGCCAAAAGTCAAATACATACTAAAAAAAAAAAAAATTAAAAAATCACCCTTCTCTTAGTGGAATAATAGTTCTAGCTACAAGAGTGAGTAATTTAATATTTTAAATTTCTGAAGCAGACGCATGCTTCACCCAAATAATGGAGATCTTTGCAGCCCTAAATAATACAGCACTCTGCAGGTACTTCTTCCAAGAATTATCTGTGCTTGTAGCAGAATAATAATTTTGGAGGGTTGAGCGTTTCTCTTCACAGTTACACCGAAAAGTATCTGAATCTTACTACCTGCATATAACAACAATGCTTTGGATTTTATCCAGAGGTGTTGATTGTTCTTAATTACCAGGTTGGATTGTTCACTTGGGCATGAAAAGAAATGAGGGGAATGAACTTGGAGATTTCAAAACTGTTGTCTTTCACTTACAGATCAAAAGCTTTGGTGTAACTGATTAAAGAGGCAGTTTAAATTAAATGTCTTTCATCACTTGAGCCCACTCTCATTTAAGAAGTGAATGCAGAGTGTAATTCTGTCATGTTACAGAAATCCTTAGTATTCAAGGTGATTTAAATAGGAAAAGGTACTGCCAAACACAGATCAAGGTGGCAGAAACTGAGCTTGAATTTATTGAATTCTTAAAGATGTCACAATACAGTAATACATGTTATGTGATACATGATTTGCAGCACAAAAAGTGGCCTCTCTCTGTGAGAAATACAGATGCCTCTTTGATTTGTGGTGAATAGTAGTAGGAGGCAGTGCAGCCTGTTCAGTCAGAATCCAGCATTTCTCATTCTCCCAACTTAGTTGATACGTGCTTGAGCACCAAACAAACATGCTGTATTATACTCCTCTGTACATCAAAGTAAGTAACCACTCTGATCATAATACTTTTAAAATTGTTACTGGGCGGAAAAAAGTCTAGTAAGTCATACCAGTGCTCTGACACTGCAACATAAAAAGAAGTTTTGCCAAAATAATATCAGGCTTTCACCATTATTGCAATAGCAATTTAGAATTGTTCTTTTGATATATCCTCCTATATAGAATGTTTCCAGGTTGGGAACTTCTTTATGCTCCTCAATAATGATCATGGGGGACACAAAATTAATGCTTTTTTTCTGATAGAACTACTTCAGGCTGTTATTTTTCGTATAAAAAGCTGCCATTCCATATTAAATGCATTAGAGTATTTTTATACAGTGCTCTTTGTGCTGTGCCCCAATCTTAGCGTGCTGTGCCACTGAGTGGCATAGTGAGCAGCTGATAGGACAGTAGATGCTGGGCAGCCAACGTACCAGGACCACCTCTGGGCTTTCAAACCATCCACAGGACCTGCAACTATGAAATCTTTTCTGAGGTAGAAATGGCCAAGCACTGCGAGATCCTCCTCCTTTGCTTTCAAACACCACCAGGCTGTTACAAACTTTACTGCAACTGTAATCTGTGATATCCCCAGAGAGCCAGAAGTTAAAACACTCTAACTCAAGTTTTAAACAATTAAGAGATCCTGTCCTGTGGGTACAAAGCATGATAGCATGCTCCGTTTCTGGAGCTCTGATGTAGGAAGAGCTGTCATTCCAGACTTTCCTGTCCTCCTCGCAAGAACACTTCATAAGATTCCTAAATTCAGTTGAATGTTTCTAAGCCAAGCTCTGAATTGATACCCAATGTTTATTTGGACAGTTATTTCATAGAAAACAATTTTATAGGCAGGGAAGACGTCTCAGTCAAGTACCTACCTTCACGTACCTCTACATCAGGCAGGATATCATGACAATAACTAGAAAATAGCCTCAAATTGTATCATGTAAGTATGTCAGCATTAAGTATTAAATGAGGTGTATGGTTGATATAACGTAGCTGATAAAATTTTAAGACATAAATTAAGATACCTTTTTTTATTCCCATGGTACATATAGGGGAAAAAAAGTCCAAAATCATGGAGTTAGCAAGACTTTCCTTTATTGTATCTAATGTAGAAACATAAATTGAAGTATTCTCAATTTTAACATCATAAAAAGTTATTGAAATGAAGGAATCCATTCTGAACATATGTTACAAACATATAATAAGAGAGGGATTTTCTTTTCATTAATGGTCAAGGTCTTTAAAAAGATTTAACTTTTATATTGATCTTAGTTCTCAAATGATAATTTTTGGTACTGGCTAGTAAATGCTAGATTGATTCTTTTAATTGAAGTTTTGCTGTGGATGTGATAGTACATTTTACAAACACTGTGTGATACGTATAAAAGATCATTTATTGAAAACATTAATAACTTGTAACACCAAGTGAACATTGTTTTCATAACTTTTATACCCTCATTTGTTATACAGTGAGAATCAGTGAGGGTGACTTGAGACCTCCAACTAGGAGTCCCATTTTTCTTTTGCTGTGGTGCATCCCTTGATAGCAATGGAGGTGAGAGCTCATTTCTCAGGAATGAGTTAAATAAAAAGTGTACAAGAGCTGAAAATAAGGTATTCTCCCTTATTATATGTACTGAGAATTCAGAAAATGCAGCACATCTGAATATTGAGCTGTCTCTGTTTGTTGAGCAAATTATGAACCTGAAATTTTATATGTAAGCTTGAAAATTGTGGCATGATAATGCTTCACTGTTTTTTGCTCACCATTAAGGTGAGCCAGAACAGTAACAGTAGCCAGAATTGCAAACAGAGGCATTTTTATTAACCTGAAATAAAGCAAAATATTAAATAGACTTTATACAGAACAGCAGTGGTTTATATAGCCATATAAATCTGTCTTGCAACTTGTATCCAATTCAGATGTCCAGTAGCAATGTTCAGGACGACAGCCTTGTTTTCCAGCGTTTATTATTGTAACTAGGAGAGATATAAGGCCTATTTTGGGCCCTTGAGTCCTGAATACACATATGGAACATGCTTGGCATGTAAACACAAGACAGAAAACAATGAGCAGGCATGGAATGCAAGGAGCATTAATAAAAATACGGCAATGCTGCCCCAGCTCACCCTTGCCTAGCCTAAAAGTAGGAGTGAACACAAAGTGAGAAAATATATGGCAAGTCTTTCACCAGCATAGCAAGGATATTGTTTACGTTCCTGTCTTTTCCTTTACTGCCCAGTGTTCATCAAATCTCTATCCCCTTTTTCCTTGTGTGCCTCTGGAACTAAGATTTCTGTCCAAGAAGTTTAGTCATTACTCTATGGAGGACTATTGTTAATGCCTTCAATTTTGCCTGTTAATACGAATTAAGAAAGTCATATTAACCACAGAGTTAATGCAGCTATCAGGAGGAAACTATCAGCAGTATTGCAGTCTAAGAGTTAATCACTAAGGAAGAATGTTCTCCCTAAAAGTAGTACTGTAGGATGGCTAGCAATAACAGACACAAGGAGGAAAGTTGAGTTGTGCATAAGGAGAATATTGCAAGTAACAATCTCTCAAATCATGCAGTTTTGCTGTTTTCTTGATGTAAGAAATGTCTGGAAGCTCCTCATTAATCTAGGAAAATAGAATGTCATAGCAGTACAGTAGCTAAATTGTTACTGTTATATGTTATCTCAGAACAGGAGTGGAATACATATAAATCTGTGTCAACAGCTAATGAACTTGTGGATTACAGGCTGCAGTGGCAGAAAGCTGTAGATAAATAGGGCTTGATCCAGGAAAACAGTGACTGTCATGTCACAGATACGCGAGGAAGTAGCCTGGTCTGTTTTCAGTTTTATTACAGTAATTAAGATAATGTCTGTTTTGGCTGCTGGATGGTGAATCAGACATAAGTCTGCCTGAATGCTGGTTGTGCTTCTCGCCACTTCCCAACAGACTGCAGATCCAGCAAGTACTGTAAACTAACGAAAACTTGGTCTTGAAATTAATCAGAGGTTTCAAATCATCACTTTGACACAGTACTATGATTCCTAGCTTGACAGTGTAAATTATAACAAGGCCTGACAGGTGCTAAATATTTCTTGTTATTTCTTTTATTATTATTTTGCGTCTTTATTTTGACATCTCTTTCTAAATAAATTGATTTAGAAGGAAAAAGTACAGATGATAGTTTTAAAATCATCATAATAAAAAAACCCCTATATTGTATTCTAAGCC